AATGACACATTGACTGCCCCTCCTGGATACAAAAATAATAACACATTGACTGCCCCTCCCCGATACAAAAACAATGACACATTGACTTCCTTTCCCCGATACAAAAACAATGACACATTGACTACCTACCCCCGAAACAAAAAGAATAACAAATTGACTGCCCCTTCCCGATACAAAAACAATGACACATTGACTACCCCTGCCCGATACAAAAAGAATAACACATTGACAGCCGTTCCCTGATACAAAAAGAATGACACACTGACTACCCCTCCTGGATACAAAAAGAATAACACATTGACTACCCCTCCTGGATACAAAAAGAATGACACCTTGACTACCCCTCCTGGATACAAAAAGAATGACACATTGACTACCCCTCCCCGATACAAAAACAATGACACATTGACTTCCTCTCCTCGATACAAAAACAATGACACATTGACTACCTCTCCCCGAAACAAAAAGAATAACACATTGACTACCTCTCCCCGATACATAAAGAATGACACATTGACTACTCTTCCCCGATACAAAAAGAATGACACATTGACTTCCTCTCCCCGATACAAAAACAATGACACATTGACTACCCCTCCTGGATACAAAAACAATAACACATTGACTGCCCCTCCCCGATATCAAAACAATGACACATTGACTGCCCCTCCCCAATACAAAAACAATGACACATTGACTACCTCTCCCCGATACATAAAGAATGACACATTGACTACCCTTCCCCGATACCAAAAGAATGACACATTGACTTCCTCTCCCCGATACAAAAAGATTGACACATTGACCAACCCTCTCCGATACAAAAAGAATAACACATTGACTGCCGTTCCCCGATACGAAAAGAATGACACATTGACTTCCTCTCCCCGATACATAAAGATTGACACATTGACTGTCCCTCTTCGATACAAAAAGTATGATACATTGACTGCCCCTCCCGTGCTAATATAAAATGTGTTTTCCCGGTGCTAAAACATCAATGTGTTTTCCCCGTGCTAGAAGGTGTTTTCCCCGTGCTAATACATCAAGAGGTTTTCCTGTGCTAATAGAAAAATGTGTTTTCTCCATGCTAATAAAACAATGTGTTTTCCCCGTGCTAATATAAAATGTGTTTTCCCCGTGCTAAAATATCAATGTGTTTCTCCTTGCTAGAAGGTGTTTTCTCCGTGCTATTACATCAAGATATTTTCCCGTGCTAATACAAAAATCTGTTTTCCCCATGTTGATATAACAATGTGTTTCCCCGTGCTAATACAACAGGTGTTTTTCCGTTCTTATATAACAATGTGTTTTCCCCATGTTGATATAACAATGTGTTTCCCCGTGCTAATAAAACAAAGTGTTTTCCCCGTGCTAAAACATCAAGATGTTTCTCCGTGCTAATACAACAGGTGTTTTCCCGTGCTAATAAAACAATGTGTTTTCCCCGTGCTAATACATCAAGATGTTTTCCTGTGCTAATGCAAAAATGTGTTTTCCCCATGTTGATATAACAATGTGTTTCCCCGTGCTAATAAAACAATGTGTTTTCCCCGTGCTAATGCAAAAATGTGTTTTCCCGGTGCTAAAACATCAATGTGGTTCCTCGTGCTAGAAGGTGTTTTCCCCGTGCTAATACATCAAGATGTTTTCCCGTGCAAATACAAAAATGTGTTTTCCCCCATGCTAATAAAACAATGTGTTTTCCCCGTGCTAATATAAAATGTGTTTTCCCCGTGCTAATACATCAAGATGTTTCCCCGTGCTAATACAAAAATGTGTTTTCCCCGTGTTGATAAAACCATTTGTGACCCCGTGCTTATACAACAATGTGTCTCCCTGTGCAAATACAAAAATGTGTTCCCGTGCTAATACGACAATGGTTTCCCCCTTGCTAATAGAACAATGTGTTTCCACGTGTTATATATAACAATTATTGTTTTGTGGTTATGTAACTGATTTGGACATAAATAACTAATATATAACAAACACCAGTGTTATTCATGAATTTTAATGTTAAGTATAATTGATAAGTATAACATGGTTTGTCGATATGTTATGATTTGGCTCAGTGACTATCGGTCATATCCATATTGATTAGCAGAAATAAAACACCACCAATTCTCTGACAACAATAACAACTTGTCAAACGAATCGTTAATCAAAATGTTGACGTTATGATGTTTTAGATTGTACCGTTCAGAGAGCAAGGATATTGATTGAGGGATGATGTTTATTCGTATATATATTTCGTTGTATATCTCCAACTGATTCAACCAAGATTCACTCAATAGTACACAATGTTAAATCAACTACAACGTTTACGAAAATGGCATTCCTTTATTATATTATTATTGCTTTATTATTTTAGTTAATGCTGAATCCAACATGTTTAATAAATTGGGAAACCCATGGAGAGTATGCTTTTTATGGAGAGAGTGTAAATAGATGATAGGGTCCCTGAAGGGACATCTTAATGAAATGCCCTAATGGTACCATGACGCTCCATTCAGTCACATTACCCTTACTACGGGCTTACCAGAGGTGCTTTGAGAGACACGGCCAAGAAATTGGGTACGTCACAAGAGAAGATATCACGGTCCCAAGTTTTGTAGTAGAGGCAATAATTCATTTTGGTTTCTCAAGTCATATATATTGATATAACGATGTTTTCTGAATTTCACATATTTGGCTGAAAAAGAAACAAATAGCACTGTACCAATGTGTCTAGACGCCAGTGATGGCGACGGTACAGACATTAGATGATAACGCTGCAGAACGAAACGCTCTTCTTTTAACTTATTCATCCCTGAAATTTCATAATGAACTAGTCCAACTTTTGAATTAGAAGAGTTCAAATGTGTCTGTAGGGGTGAATGTGTTAAGAAACGACGAGTGCTACTTGTATGGGACAGCGATTGAGACATATTATACTGAACGAAAACAACCTAATAACCATGCATAAAGTGTGAACAATAACAATTATAAAATTTTCATGGCAATCGGCCACTTTGTAGCGACAATCACATGTAAAATTGATATAAAGCTACACAACACTACAAGGCAAACTACAGTAATCATGTAAGCGTCATTGGATGGAGTGCAGAGAAATATGACAACTTGAAAGCAAACTTTTGACAGTGTGTGCACTTTTCTTCGATGCAATAAAAAAAATAGATCGTGAAAAAACAAGGGCCCACACAAAGACGCAAAGGGAGACAGGTACGCTGTCATCCTAGCATAAACGCCTATATATTTTCTGTGTATGCCTTTTGTTTTGATTGGGTTTTTTTTCAGGGTTTTGCTTTGCGTCCTGGAACTAGATAAGGTCATATGGAGAGGGTGTGAACAGATGTGGGGCCCTAAAAGGAATCTAATAAAATAAAGGGGGCAGGGGGCAGGAAAGCCACGCACAGCACCAGTCATTCAAAACGATATGAAAGTAGACTTATTTCAAATTTCAAGACAGTAAAATGTTATTATAGATGAGTACCGTAGATATGCTTGTAATGGTAAGGATTAAGTCTATGATAACGACCAGTTATCGAAAAAATATGACATAAGTGAGCAGTCTAGACACAAGTCAGCCGAAGGGATATATTTATATACACTAATGCTACCGTTCAGAAGTGATAGTTAAGTTGATCCTTGTGTGTGCATGTAATGCAACTATTTGATGACTTTTTTTCTGACAAAGGAGCGGATTACCTCAAAATTTGACATCGGGAGCATATGTATGTTAGATCATACTGTCATCATGACTCTTAATAACATAGGAACATAAATACGTTGTATGGGCTTAAGATGATCCTCATGTTTATGGTTAAACTATCTATAATAATTGTGCTGATTATACCGTGCTCCTCTACAGGAACAGCACCATAACAGTCACACTATACATAAAACTATAATAGACGATAAAAGCGTATGTACATAACACCGAATTAAATTGTCGTTAATGCCATCATTACTTAATCGACTTCTTCTTATTGACGTCACAACTGCGTGGTAGGATCCATTTGCGAATTCCTCCTCTCACGGAAGTGATCGACTGTTGTCGATAAATCGCGTTGAAAGTGGTCATACATCCGGGCTCTCTGTTTTGTGTCATCATCTTCCAAACCGGATGTCCGTCTCATATGTGCTCTTGGAATGTATAAGTCTTTGTTTTCCGGAAGTTTAAGTTGCCCACTCTGTAAAACATCAATAACACCCGAAATGAATATATGTATGGTCACTCCCGTGCTGCTCGTACACGTAATTACTTTTGAACTTTTGAAATGCGTTTGCGCGATGTATAGACATATTGTGTTAAAAGACCCGGATGTTTTAACAAAAATTGTATCAAATGAAATCATGCCATTAAAAATAAAGACGTATATGACGTAATAGCTCAAACCCTTTTGAACCTGTTTTTCCGGCGTAAGATCACATACAAAGTGGAAAAAATGGTCGGTTTGGCATACAGATCGATGAAACACAATACTTTCACTACATAAAGCTCCTTATGTCGTTCATGTCCTAGGATAACATAAATCTGCAATGGTGATATAAGTATGACGACACTAAATCGTGCCCTTACAGTGAACTTATCTGTAATGGTGGTTTGTATTAAAACAGCACTTATCCTTTATGGTGATTTGTAGTAAACAGTACTAATCTCCCGTGGTGATTTGTAGAAAACAGTACTAATGTTTTAAGATGATTTGTACCATAGCAGTACTAAGCTTTTAGATGATTTGCACTTAACAGCGCTAACCTCCCGTGACGATTTCAACTATAACAGCACAAATTTGTTATGGTGATTTGGACTTTGATAGTAATTATGTTATTTGTACTATGACAACACAAATCTTAAAGGTGATTTGCACTAAATTAAAGAGCATCTATCTTTTAGATGATTTGTACTAAAACAGCACTAATCTGTTATGGTGATGCAACTAAGACAAAACTGTTGTGTAATTGGACAAAACTAAAGTGTACTAAGATAAAGCTCTGTGTGCCTATGCACCATTACCTTTGCTTCATTGACAGTATCTGTAAGGCAGAACCTAAACCATTACATTTGCTTCCTTGACAGTACCTGTAAGGCAGAACCTAAACCATTACCTTTGCTTCCTTGACAGTACCTGTAAGGCAGAACCTAAACCATTACCTTTGCTTCATTGACAGTATATGTAAGGCATAACCACAATCAAAATGTTTTACCGTAATCGAAGTGTTATAAAATGTTCAGCATAAAGCAAAGTGAAGCTTATGACACATTAATGTAATATATGAATGTTTTATCAAACATGTGCAAGGTTTGTAGACTTTGACATGAATGTTGCTTTTCAATTTAACAGTTCACCGAGAAATTACTCATCTACATAGTCAAACATGCTAAGCCATCCAGATCATACAACCTTTAAAATCGATTTTATTTGTTATTCATATTTACACACCAGTACTCTTTAATAAATCAGCGGAAGGCCGGGGCATTAGTGGTGCCATGTGATTGATTTGTTCCTAGGCTCTAACATATAAGTCCACAGGGAGAATCAATCTGATTTTATCAGCAGCATCTATCAGAGCTCTAGTCTCGCTCGCCTGCACTTCCGACCTATGTGTAATAAGGTGGTGATTATGATCAGGATGCACATAAGTGTTTCCTGCCTCCAAGTCTGGTCTGTTGCTTATAAATATCTCTTCCGTAGTTAGCTCCTATCGAAGGAACTATTGATAATGATAATAATTCGAGGTTCTTATGTACCGCTTTAGCACAACCTAGTTCATAGGTCGTCTGAAAGCGGTTAACAAATTATTATCCGTGGTTATATGGTCAGCAGCATCTATCAGAGCGCTGGTCTCGCTCGCATGCACTTCCAACCTATGTGTAATATGGAGGTGATTATAATCAGGAGGCACATAAGTGTTTCCTGCCTCCAAGTCTGTTGCTTATAAATATCTTTTCCGTAGTTAGCTCCTATCGAAGGAACTATTAATAATGATAATAATTCGAGGTTCTTATATACCGCTTTAGCACAACCTAGTTCATAGGTCGTCTGAAAGCGGTTCACAAATTAGTATCCGTGGTTATATGGCCTGTGCAACCAGTCAATATCTCACAGCTAGCAATAAACAAATCCAGCACTGCCCAACCACGTACTCATTTACAGCTGAGTAGACTGAAGCAAGCAAAATAAAGTATCTCGTTCAAAGATACAACACAGTGCCATGCCGTGACACAAACCCGCAACCCTTCAGTCACGAGTCCGTCGTCCTACCACTAGACTACCGTGCCTCTATCCGTCTTAAGCAATCAACGTCACCCTCAAAAATCGTTTAAATCCACTTAATCATCATTTTGCTTGTGTCATACCAGAATCAACAAGGCTATACCGTCTACGATTCAATATGTTTTTCATTTATATTCTAACATTAGTACGTACTGTTCCTATCATTTCCGAATGCCAATCGTCTTATTCAGTTACTTCATTTTTATTTTGTGTGTTATGTTCAGCTTTCAATTAAACATGAATATTAACGGAACATAAATCTTTCTAAAGCTTTACTTATCGATTATTACTCAGCATGTGCCTTTCACGTGCTACTCAATATCTCCAGTCGACTATAAGTCAACACATCTCCACATCTAACTCTTATCAAATCTGCTCTTCGACCATTTTTAGATGTACATAATCTATTCACGCCTCTGGTTTCATGTCCTTATTTGTCGGATTATATCAGCTGTCACTGACTCTCACCTTTGTCCGGTTTTTCAAGAGACGTGCGGATACATAACCTGAATACCTGCGGACGTGTTGATCTCACAGTGGGAAACTTGTTCCAAAGTTCAAATCACATTGCAAACACATTAGGACAATAGGTCCATATCACATTGCAAACACACAAGGACAAATTCATACCCAAGGTCGAATCATAAAGATAAAAACATGAACTGACGAGACACCGAAACAGAAGGAAAGACAACGTCAAACCCCACAATTAACAAGGTAATATTTCGGACGTGTTAGCGTTTCCTTTTAGTAGGTCGGTATGCTAGTCGAAACGGCATTATTTACAGCTAACTACCTCGGCCTTTTCACCCCATTTTCTTGTATACCTTCATCGCTCGAAAACATTTTATAAATGTCTCTTCGGGTCATATCAAGTCTCGGAGAGTGGTTGTGTGCAATTTATTTCAACATTTGGAAATTCGGAAAAGATGCATAAAAATGACAATTTATTTCCTACATTTATGACGATAGATATTTGAAATACCTTTGGGGCATTCATATGACATGAGAGTAATTTTGGCACTTATAATCCATAAACTGTGACTTTAGCTACAACCGACAAAAATGTCTGACGAACGTTTTGGACATTCAATTGATTCACTGTAATCTTATTTCTTTTCACTCCTATCAAGCTTCTATTCCAAATACATGGTATTCTGTGATTCATTTATTTATAAGGCTTCGGCATGAGACAAACAACCTTCCTTAAAAACTGGTTTAACATAGAATCGCCCGCTGTAATTGAACGTGGATATCTCCCAACATTCCCTTATATCCAGCATATGTCAACATACCTCTTTTATGAGTGCCTCTAATATCTGGTTATCTAATAGAAAGCGATGTAGAAGAGACAAAACAATCTTTTCCGGCACGTGTTCCCGGAAGTTGTGGAGAATGGCCGATCCCTGTTAAAACAATATGAAAAATAAATCACTTTAGCAATTCAATTTGTTCAATTCATGCTCCTTACTCACGTAACGACACAATTTATTTATTCCTCCATATTTATTGAAAACATTGGGAAACAGAAACAACCAACCAGCACGAAGAGCATGGACCATGGAGTATGGCTTTTTAATACACTGAATAAAAAAGACGTGGTCAGTATCAGTTGTATGTTATACAACACATGAGGATACACAGAAATGGTATATAATCGAAATTACAACATAAATATTATAGAAACAATGTGACACGTCATAGACAATGTGACAGTGGAACCTATGACGTAATGTAAATTAAATAACTTACCACACAAAAGCAGAAATGTGTCAAGGACCCGTACCACACAAAAAAGAAATATGATAATGGCCCTTATCACACAATAGAAGCTATATGACAATGGCCCTTATCACAAAATAGAAGTAATATGACAATGGCCCTTATCACACAATAGAAGCAATGTGACAATGTCCCTTATCACAGAATAGAAGCTTTATGACAATGTTGCTTATCACACAATAAATAGAAGCTATATGACAATGGCCCTTATCACACAATAGAAGCTTTATGACAATGTTGCTTATCACACAATAAATAGAAGCTTTATGACAATGGCCCTTATCACACAATAGAAGCTTTATGACAATGGCCCTTAACACACACTATAAGCAATATGACAATTGCCTTTATCACACAATATAAGCAATATGACAATGTCCCTTTATCACACAATAGAAGCTATACGATCCGCGCTATCACAAGAGCAATAACACCAATATACACTGTCTCCAGGACACATACATGACACACGCGGAGACACGTCCTTAAATGACCTTAGTTGTTAATAGGTCGTTTAAATGACAATAGGCCTGATCACACAATAGAAGCTGTATGACAATAGGCCTGATCACACAATAGAAGCTATATGACAATAGGCCTGATCAAACACACATACAAGAAACCAGAGTGACAGTTGGTTGTGACAGTTGGTTATGACATAAATGACGTAAAGTGAAAGTCCAATAGCGGCGTGTATTACACGATAACAGCAAGACAATGAATATTATCTAAAACAAAATAGAAACGAGACAAAAGGTTGCACTATCGTAATAAGAGGTTAAACATTCTATCTATAAGACTCATGGGTTCATATTTACAAAGTAGACTCCGACGGCCACGCCCATGGCCAGACCGACGACTACGTCATCCCAGTGACACACCCTCAATCCGTACTCTAGTAGTCCGCACAACAACGCCAGCATGACAAACGCCAGCGACAGGAACGGTCGGATGATGCGCACGGAACGAGTGCGCAGGGCGCCGTGCAGGTAGATCTGCATTAGAATAAAGAGAGAAAATTAGTCATAAGGGCGCCTAACATTACTACATGACAAGCCAAACTGAATAAGGAATCAGGATATCGATTAGTGAAATAAAGTTATCTCTAATTATTTTAATATCATAGATATGTAAGTAGATTTAAAAGAGGTATCTTAAATTGAAAAAGAGTTTTCTTTAATCCAAATTGAGATTTTTATTTTGAAATCAAATAAGATATTTTTAAAATCTATTAATGATATTTCATATAATCTAAAGAAAAAATATCTTCAAAACGAAAAAGAGATATACTTATGAATGCATCTTAAAATATGTGGAAATAAAAAATAAAAAAAAAATAAAAAACCAGAGAGGTCTAGAACTTTAAAAAATAATAATGCAAGATTAAGGTGTTAATTCACTTAAATTATCTAACCAGGTTTTTTGTTGGGGAGTAGGTGGGGGTGGGGGCTGTTAAAATAAGGCGAGGCACAAAATAAATCACCATGCTTAAAGAAGAACATAGCTATACACTTTTGACGGTAAGGATTTTGTACCATCCAGATAGCACATAAAATAACACATGTAGATATGTTTATAGTTGTGTATAGCTATCTTGTATTTCTCAATTATTACTCTGTACAAGCGTACTGACGAATCGTATAGCAGAGTAATGTCTGATGTTTACTGGTAGTCGTTGATTGATAGCTTCAATTCATTAATTACGTTTTGTTGAAAATGATTTGGCATATACACTCATCTTCTTTGTAAATACCATTAAGTCATGATTAACCACATTGAAATAGCAGTGTAAGCACCATTGACGGACTGAAGAGAGGTAGGCGAAAACGAGCGTTACCCTTGGAGCATAGAGTATGGCGGTTCAGTCGACCATATGTTAGATTGATTGTCAACAAAATATTTTGTCCCGAGCAGTCATTACTTAATCAAAGTAGAGACACTTTGTTCGAGCCTAGCATTTTCCTTCGAAGACACACTTATAATGGAAATTTTTTCAGTTGAATGGGAACGATAGAGACATGTTCAAAGATAGAAACGCCTTTTTTTCTCTTTTTTTTATAAACGCTTCTGATAGAATTCAATTATGAATTCCACTTGTAGTAACCGTTCATTTTAAACATTCATTCGGATGTTATTTCATGTTATTTTCATTTCTGCGTTACTTAAACTAGTTTCTCCTCCGGAACTGTTTGTTCCTTTAACTAACCATTTCTAAGAAATGCATGGCTTAAACCACACTACCAACTTCCCAAACGCTTCAGATTGGATTGGACGCCAGTTGCATCCATATATAGATTTGTCATGCAATTGTCAACAGGCTAATGAAAAATGTTTATAATAATTCATCTTCACGTTACCAATTTAGTTGGTTGCAAGAATTTATAATCGCAACAATACAAATATACAGTAATAATTGTGTTCGTGGTGTCTGGTTTTGGAGTATTTGCTGAAAAGGCCAACATAGCGAGATCTAATTTAGTGGAATTTAATG